AGGCCAAAGCTCTGAGAGCTCCTGCCTTTGCTGTGGAGTTCCCCAGGGTGCTATCCTCTCGCCCCTGTTCTTTAACATCTACGTCCGGCCACTTGCTGGACTGGTGCGGAGCTTTGGCATAGAGTGCTACCAGTATGCAGATGATACCCAGCTACTCTTGCGTTGATATAGAGGTAAAATTTAGGGGTCTTTGCCAGGAGGCAGAGACCAATTAGACTCATCAAAGAGTTCTTTTTCCCTGGGAGACAGAGAAGCATCCCATATTTTTCCCTGATTTCCCAATGAAAAGTCTCACCAGTTGAAGAAAAGCCATTGAAGTTTAATGCGATTCAGCTGAAACCGGATGCAAAGCTGCAATCATTCGCCAGCAGAGCATAAAGAAATACATTTGATACAGCCATTTATATAGAGTTTTCAAAGTTGCAGAGTTCAAACTTCCTGCCCCAGCCTCCCTGCCGCCCTCCACTGCGATTGGACAATGGGCGAACAGCTGGGAGGCGACCCTCCCGCCCCCGGCGCCTCCGGACCAATCAGGAAGCTCCAGCAGTCCGCAGGGTCCAATGGGGCGATAGCAAATCAGAAAAGAGGGAGGCGGGATGAAAGGACACAAAGGAATCTATGAATGAATGTAAAAAAATAATGCCATGTGGCCGGCGAGACAAAGGGGAAATCTCAAGCCAGCCTGATCTATTGTGCTTTGAGTGGAATGAATCAACATGTGTAAAGGAAAGTCTGGATTTTACTAGCCAGCAGATATGGAGACAATGTAGGCGAGACTGGGGTGATTGTTTCTTGGTGGAGATAGCTGAGTTAATCAGAGCGAAGGCAAAAGGTTTTTCGAGGACCTTTTGTCCTTCAGGAGGAAATATGATTAAGATTTTTGCCAAAGGGGCAAGCTGAGGGCTGGGCAATTCCTCCGAGGGCCACCAGCTGCCCAGGCTATTGTTCGTGGGGGGGGGGGGGCATGCTCGACTTCAGCGTCTTGAACCTGGGACAACCGCGATTCCTGAGAACTTTAGGCTGTGTTTGGAAGCAGTGATGAGTTGGCTGCGAGCGAGCAGACTAAAAGTGAATCCTGCTAAAACTGAGATACTCTGGCCTGGCCAGCCGCCAGAATTAATCCAGTCTCTGCCTGATTTCGATGGGGAAGCTCTGGTTCCGTCTGCCACTGTTAAAAGCCTTGGGGTTGTGTTGGACTCATCGCTGACGATGGAGGCCCAGATCACTGCCATAAGTAAACAGGCCTTTTTTCATCTTCGCCAGGCAAGGAAATTGGCATCCTACCTTTCGGTAGAAGCATTGGCAACGGCAATCCACGCAACAGTCACCACGAGGTTGGACTATTGCAATGCCTTATATGCCGGCCTTCCGAAGTCAACAACCCAGAAGATTCGGATGGTCCAAAATGTGGTGGCCAGGCTGCTAGCGGGATCATCTATAAGATCCCATATTACACCGATTCTGCAACAACTGCATTGGCTACCAATAGAACATCGGATCTCTTACAAGATACTGATCCTGACATTTAGAGCTCAAAATGGCCAAGGACCTTTATATCTTAGGGACCGCCTCATTCCTTTTCTCCATCAGTGGTCACCTCGATCCACCCAGGAAAATCTCCTATAGGGAGGTACACCTGGAAGCTACAAAGCGCAGAGCTTTTTCGATCTATGCTCCAACTCTGTGGAACTCATTGCCTCCATATATTAGAGCAATGTCGGAGTTGCGACCTTTTGCAAAGGCGCTCAAGACTTGGCTGTTTGGTTGTGCATTTAAGTAATCAGATCTAATTTGCCAAATAGTCACTGTTGAATGTTTTTATGGCCATCTGTCAGGGGTGATTTGAATGCAATATTCCTGCTTCTTGGCAGGGGGTTGGAATGGATGGCCCATGAGGTCTCTTCCAACTCTTTGATCCTGTGATTCTATGAATGTTTTTATATTGTGTAAATGCTATTTTAGACTGTAAGTCGCTCGGAGCACCTTGGTGGAGAGCGACTAATTAAGAAATAAAGTGAAGTGAAGATGTTTTTGATGTTTTACCATCCTTGTGGGAGGCGTCTCTCATGTCCCCGCATGAGGAGCTGGAGCTGACAGAGGGAGCTCATCTGCACTCTCCCTGGATTCGAACCTGCGACCTGTCAGTCTTCAGTCCTGCCAACACAACTCTCCATAGAAGGAGCCTCCACCACACTCTGGGGCAGAGAGTTCCACTGCTGAACAGCTCTCACAGTCAGAGAGAGCTGCAAAGAGAGCCAATGAAGCACAATATCAATCAACATGACAATAATAAACACATTGCAAGACACCAAGTGGAAATTCAGCCTAAGAGCGAGACTCAAGCTGAGTGAGGTGGCTTTAAGAGAGGAAGAGAAAAGTGGACGCCACGATGGATAAAGAAGATGCTCAGCACCCTCCAGCCCCAACAAGGGTGATAATGGGCCGTGCCTCCCGCCAGAACGCCACATGCGTTCCAATTTATTTTTTTAATAGTGAGATTCCAACGAAGGGAGCTTATTAAAAACACATTTAATGTAGACAGATGAAAGTGAATGAAGTGTGGGCAAGCGTTGTGAAAACAAAGCTATACCCAAAAAAACCAATTTGGCTCAGCCCCGCTGGTAAAGCTGATAATGAACTAAATGAGACGCATTGAGGCGAGGAGGCGAGGATCAGCTCTGACAAAGAGCAAAATGGAAGCTTCAGAAATATTGAAGGCGAAAGAAATTTCTTGCTACTGCTAAGTGACCAGAGTTTCTTTCCTTTCCTATATGCACAGATTTTAACCTCAAAAACGCAAATATATTGGGCTGCCACATAGTGCCAGCAGTGGTTTGAGGGTTGGACTATAGGACGTTGTGAGATCAGGAGTGAAATCCCTGCTCAGCCAAGGAAACACCCTGGGATTCACACTCTCTCAAACCAAAAAATAAGACAATACAAGGGTTGAATGAAAAGTAATGCTTCCACCTTCGTAACTCCTCAACAGATGGCAGTACTGGTATGCGGCAGGTACTGGCTTGTTCAGTAGACTCTCCTCTACAGTTCCATTTTGGTGGGAAGCCTTAGCATGGAATGGTTGTGTTGTTAAAAGATGAGAGATATTGACAAGCTGGAATGTGTCCAGAGGAGGGCAACTAAAATGATCAAGGGTCTGGAGAACAAGCCCTATGAGGAGCGGCATAAGGAGCCGGGCATGTTTAGCCTGAAGAAGAGAAGGCTGAGGGGAGACATGATAGCCATGTATAAATATGTGAGAGGAAGCCACAGGGAGGAGGGAGCAAGCTTGTTTTCTGCTTCCTTGGAGACTAGGACGCGGAACAATGGCTTCAAACTACAAGAGAGGAGATTCCATCTGAACATGAGGAAGAACTTCCTGACTGTGAGAGCCGTTCAGCAGTGGAACTCTCTGCCCTGGAGTGTGGTGGAGGCTCCTTCTTTTGAAGCTTTTAAACAGAGGCTGGATGGCCATCTGTTGGGGGTGCTTTGAACGCAATTTTCCTGCTTCTTGGCAGAATGGAGTTGGACTGGATGGCCCACGAAGTGTCTTCCAACTCTATGATTCTATGATTCTATGCACGTTAAGCTGCTACTTTCAATGAGTGCGTTTTTCTGATGGGTTATAGTTTAATCATCATCGTCGTTGTCATCGTCATATACTTTATTTATATTCTGCCCTATCTCCCTGATTTTCTGCGACTGGCAGTTTAACCGGCTGTTCTAAAGCTCTGCCCTGCTAAAAAGGCACCTAGACCTCCCTGTTGGAAAACTATTTATCTGTTTTTGAACTGGTAGGTGAGCAGAAGCTGAGCTGATGGTTGGGAGCTCACCCCAACCCAGGCTTGAACTGTCAACCTTTCGATTGGTAAGATGTTCTGCAGCTGGTGATTTAACCTGCTGTGCTAAAGCCCCGCCCTGCTAAAAAGGCACGTAGACCTCCCTGTTGGAAAACTATTTATCTACTCACATTACTGTTTTTGAGCTGGTAGGTAAGCAGAAGCTGGGCTGATGGTTGGGAGCTCGCCCCAACCAGGGCTTGAACTGTCAACCTTTCGATTGGCAAGATTTTCTGCAGCTGGTGGTTTAACCCATTGTGCTAAAGCCCGGCCCTTCTAAAAAGGCACCTCGACCTCCCTGTTGGAAAACTCTGGTGCTTTGCTTCAAGGGGGAGTTCTCAAAACAGGGAGAATTGTAAGTGTTTCAACGGTTGGGAACTCACCCAACCCGGGCTTGAACTGTCAACCTTTCGATTAGCAAGATTTTCTGCAACTGGTGGTTTAACCTGCTGTGCTAAAGCCCGGCCCTGCTAAAAAGGCACCTAGACCTCCCTGTTGGAAAACTATTTATCTACTCACATTACTGTTTTTGAGCTGGTAGGTAAGCAGAAGCTGGGCTGACAGTTCGGAGCTCGCCCCAACCAGGGCTTGAACTGGCAACCTTTCGATTGGCAAGATTTTCTGCAGCTGGTGGTTTAACCCGCTGTGCTAAAGCCCAGCCCACTGGGGTTTCTGGGGTTTGCCCAGTCCCTTAGAAATGATGGCAGAAACCTTTGTAACCTCTTGGCCCACAAATGGAGAGCTTTCATTTCAAGCTTGTAGATGCTATCTTTGAAGACTACACCTGAGATCTGTCAATCCCCCAAATTTCATGGGGCATGATAAAGTTTGCAAATTCTCCTTTTTAGAAGGGATTAGTGTTGGGTGAAAGGAAAGGACCATTTGCACAACTTGTTTTCCTAAATTGCCCGGCAGAGCTTTAAAATAATTGTTAAATGTCTCCGACATCCCTTTTTTGAGTAGCCATTCTTTTAAACTGCTAGGGCCCAATTTGAGCAATTTTAGCTGTTTTTCGAATTTAAGGATCCAATGGGCATGTGGAGATAAATCACTTCTTTCTTTTTAACATAGATATTTGCTGGCCTGGAGCATTTTTGAAAAGCAGTAAAACGTTTTGAGCGGACTATTGACTGCCTGTCTTTTATTTTTATTGATTGGATTTAGGTTTGGAAGCGATCCGGCGCCTGGTTCTACAAAGGTCTCCCGAAGTACATCTTGCCTTTGAAAAATAGCAGTAGCAGCAAAACCGGAGAGGTCCATCTGAGGCCTCATCATGCAGAGATCCCAAGGCTGGAGGCCAAGAGCGTCTCTCCCAGTCGTACTTATACCTGGGCCAGGGGTAAAGGTCAGTTACTGACACATCAGAGATGGATATCACTACTCTTATGTCTGCTACATGTCTTAAAGCGGTGTTTCTCAACCATTCTAATGCCACAACCCCTTAATACAGTTCCTCATGTTGTGATGACTCCCAACCATAATATCATTTTTGTTGCTACTTCATAACTCATTTTGCTACTGTTATGTCTCACAATGTAAATATCTGATATGCAGGATGTATTTTCATTGACTGGACCCAATACCCAAATTTGAATACTGGTGGGGTTGGGGGCGGATTGATTTTGTCATTTGGGAGTTGTAGTTGCTGGGATTTATAGTTCACCGACAATCAAAGAGCATTCGCAGTTTAAACCTACCGAGGTGCTCCAAGTTTGGTTTTTGTGTAAGGGGAGGCTCTCTATGTGTGCTGTGCATAAAACTGTAGACAGGACATAAATTCTGTGTGCCCAATAGCACGCCGGGGCTGCCTCAGATTAAAGGCCTTTGGATTTCCTTAAAACAGAGTCTTTAGATTGCTTAAAGATTCAACAAAGTTCTTTATTAATGAAAACAAATAAGTACTTTAAAGCTTTCTTAACAGTCTATTGGCTCTCTCAATCTTGTTCACTGGGAACAGGCACTATCTTCATAAACTGTAATTTAACTAATGGGGAAATCCATAACTTCTAATCTGGGCAGTCTGTCTTTGCCTCTGATGGCATGGAGCCCCTGCACCCGGTACCAACTGCTTCTGGCTTCCGCGAGTGACCCTTACCAAGCAGAGCTTTGTAGACTTCCAGAGGAAAAGGAGTTCAGGTTTCGGTGATGGCTGGCTGAAGTCCATCAGCAAAGGAGCTGTAAGACTGTATGATCCTCGGCCAAGCTGTGGGCTGTCTTCTTTCTTCTTAGGCGATCCCTCGTTGGACGAGTATGATGGTCTTCCATTATGGGTTTCCTTGTGGGTCCATATGTGGCTGTGGAGCCCTATTCTTGCTCTGCATCTTCTTCCGCAGTGTGGGCATTGGTTTCCAGGTGGAAGGCGGTCCCGGTCGGGGTAGGCTTGACGCGCCTTCCTCCTGGCACGTTTCTCTCTTTCGCCCTCCACTCGTGCCTCTTCAAATTCTGCAGCACTGCTGGTCACAGCTGACCTCCAGCTGGAGCGCTCAAGGGCCAGGGCTTCCCAGTTCTCAGTGTCTATGCCAGAGTTTTTAAGGTTGGCTTTGAGGCCATCTTTAAATCTCTTTTCCTGTCCACCAACGTTCCGTTTTCCGTTCTTAAGTTCAGAGTAGAGCAACTGCTTTGGGAGACGGTGGTCAGGCATCCGGACAACGTGGCCGGCCCAGCGGAGTTGATGTTGGAGGACCATCGCTTCAATGCTGGTGGTCTTTGCTTCTTCCAGCACACTGACGTTTGTCCGCTTGTCTTCCCAGGAGATTTGTAGGATTTTCCGGAGGCAGCGCTGATGGAATCGTTCCAGGAGCTGCATGTGACATCTGTAGACAGTCCACATTTCACAGGCATATAGCAGGGTTGGGAGGACAATAGCTTTATAGACAAGCACCTTGGTCTCCCTACGGATGTCCCAGTCCTCAAACACTCGGGAAAATGCTGCACTCACAGAGCTCAGGCGGTGTTGTATTTCGGCGTCGATGTTGACTTTGGTGGAGAGGTGGCTGCCAAGGTAGCGGAAATGGTCAACATTTTCTAATGCTACACCATTAAGCTGTATCTCTGGCATTGGGGAGGGGATGGCTGGTGACTGCTGGAAGTTTTCTCGATGTTCAGTGACAGGCCAAGCTTCGTGTATGCTTCTGCAAAGGTGTTTAGAGTGGCTTGTAGATCTTCTTCTGAATGCGCACAGATGATGTTATCATCAGCATATTGGAGTTCTGTAACAGATGTTTTAGTCTTCTTCTGATTGCGCACAGACAACATCATCAGCATATTGGACTTCTATAACAGATGTTGTTATAGCGTTCTGTCTGCTGAGGTTAAATAGCTTGCCATCTGTCCGATAGATGATTTCCACTCTGATGGGAAGATTCCCATCAACAAGATGAAGTATCATAGCGATGAAGATGGAGAATAAGGTTGGGGCAATAACACATCCCTGTTTGATACCTGATTCCATCTTAAATGGGTCACTTTGGGAGCCATTGCTGTCCAGGACTGTTGCCATCATGCCATCATGGAGTTAGTGCTCAGAAAGCCCTTTGAATGCTTGTGTGCGTGGTGCAAATGTGCAGAGAATGTGCTTCAACACAGTTACATCACTGTGGATAAGTCTTCACTCTTCTTACCTGGAGTGAGCTGTTGCCAGGGTAACCCCTACCAATGTTTTAGGTCTCAAACTCTCCTTGATTTACCGTTGGGGGCTCCAGCGGTGACAAGCAAAGCCTTGGTGGCCCAAGAACCATCTAACTCAGGCATGGGCAAGCTTTCTAACTTGGAGACCACATGGCAGATCTCTTTCCCTGCCATTTGAACCCATTGCTTCCTTGTGCCTTGGTCTCTAGAGCAGCAGAAAGTCAGTTTTCCCCTTCCTCCTCCTCAATGGGACACCCTTTGAAATCTTGAAACATGGTTCTCATGTTAATAATAATAATAATAATAATAATAATAATAATAATAATTTATTTATTTATTTATAACTTGCCCTATGTCCCCAGGGGGACTCTACCTTCTCTTCTCTCAGCTAAAATCCCCCAGGAGGAAAGAAGGAGTAAAAAAGAGAAGGAACTGAGAAAGGGAAGGTGAAAGTGGGAGGGAAGAGAAGGGAAGAAGAGAGGAAAGAGAGAAGGAAGGAAAGGCAAAAGGGAAAGGAAGGAGAAAGAGGGAGAGAGGAAAGGAGGGAGAAAGAGAAAGAAGGAGGAAGGAAGGAAGGAAGGAAGGTGGAGGGAAGGAAGGGGAAGAGAAGGAGGAGGGAGGAAAGAGAGAAGGAAGGAAAAGACAAAAAGAGAAGGAAGGAAAGAGGGAGAGAGGAAGGAGGAGGAAGAGGAGAAGGTCTATGTTCTTTTTTTTTTTTTTTTTCTCTTTTTTTTTTTTTTTTTTTTTTTTTTTTTTTTTTCTTCTTTTTTGGAAGGAAGGATAGAAGGAAGGAAGGAGAAAGAGGGAGGAGGAAAGAGGGAAGGAAGGATGGAAGTAAGGGTGGAAGAAGGAAGGAAGGAAGGAGGAAGGAAAAGAGAAGGAAGAAGGAAGGACAAAAGGGTGGAAGGGAATGGAGAAGAAGGGAAGGAAAGAAGGAAGGAGGAAAGAGGGGAAAGGAAGGGGGAGGAAAGAGGGAAGGAAAGGGGAAGGAAGGAAGGAAGGAAGAAGGAGGAAGGAAGGAAGGAAGGAAGGAAGGAAGGAAGGAGGAAGGAAGGAAAGAAGGAAGGAAGGAAGGAAGGTGGAAGGGAAGGAGAAGGAAAGAAAAAGAGAAGGAAGGAAGGACAAAAGGGTGGAAGGGAATGGGAAAGAGGGAGGGAGAAAGAAAGGGAGGGAGGAAAGAGAGAAGGAAGGAAAGACAAAGGAAGAAGGAGAAAGAGGGAGAGAGGAAAGAGGGAGGAAAGAGAGAAGGAAGGAAGTATGAAGGGTGGAAGGAGGAAGGAAAGAGAGGAGGAGAGAAAGAGTGAGGGAAGGAGGGAGGAAGAGAAGGAGGAAGAAAAGAGAGAAGTATAGGAGGGCCTGAAAAAGACCTTGGAGGGCCATATCCGGCCCCTGGGCCTGGGTTTGCCCATTCCTGGTCTAACTTCTTGTATGTCATCCATGCAGTCTTCATGTTTCTGTGCATGGATGTGCAATGTATACATGTGTGGTGGGAGGAATTCTGGGAGTTCCAACCTAAATGAAGTAGCTTCCCCAAGCTGACCCAGAGACTCAGGCTGTGAAAGGTGCTCAGCAGTGGAACTCTCTGCCCCGGAGTGTGGTAGTGGCTCCTCGTTTGGAAGCTTTTAAACAGAGGCTGGATGTCCATCTGTCGGGGGTGCTTTGAATGCAATTTTCCTTCTTTTTGGCAAGGGGTTGGACTGGATGGCCCATGAGGTCTCTTCCAACTCTATGATTCTGTTCTGTTGCGCGCTGGGCTTGAAACAAATTGCTTTTAAAACAGGACATGCAACTTTAGCCCAGCGGGAAGCCAGGGGGCCCGAAGAGAAATTCGTAAGGATTTTCACCATAAACAGTCTCTAGAGGGCTTGTAAAATATAACAAAGTCTTTTATTGGTGAACAATCAACAGAAACTTCTTTTGTCTTCAAAGGGTTAAACAAATGCTTCCAGGCTCTGTGCAACTGGTGGCTTCTAACTGTTACTTTACTCTAAAGGAAAATCCCTTTCCAAACTTCTCCCAGGCTAACTGTGATCCTAAACCTACCGGGTTGATCTGCATCTCAAAGCACCGAGTGGACCTACCAGTAGGCCTGTAGTCACTTCAGCTGGAGTTCTTAGATGTTCAAAGCTGTTTTTTCCCTCCGAAATTCCTCGGATCTTTAGGGCTGTTTCCCTAGGAATCTTTGGGAATCCTTTTGCTCTTAAGCCTGTTCTCCCCCGGGAGGTCTTAAGGGTTGAAGCCTTTGTACAGGAGAAGTCTGTACACATCCTGTACATTGACTTTCCTTGCTGAGACTGACTGAAAATGGCTCCCTTCCCTTCACAATTGTCCTGAACAGGGGGCGGAACCAAACTTAATGATGATGGACAGGGGGCCTGCCCTATAAATGCAAACTTTAACAGGAAGCCACCCTTCTGCAGAATCCCAAGCCTTGGGCTGCAAGCAAACACTTAATACAAGGCAAATAAAGTGGGAGCTTGGAGCCCCCGGTGGTGCAGTGGGTTAAAGCACTGAGCTGCTGAGCTTGTTGATCGAAAGGTCGCAGGTTCGATTCCGGGGAGCGGCATGAGCTTCCGCTCAGGGGCAGCTCGTCCATTACGCGAAGTAAGCAGTTGCAGAACACTTTTTTTGCCAGGGGCGCAGAGGTGCCTCTGTAAATGCCCCTCGACCGCCACTTGAGGAGCGCCCCCTCAGCTCACAACAGCCCTAGCAGTCCGGGGGGAGCCTCGGCTTTCTTGCCTCACTGCCGGGTGATCCTCTTCCCAAAGGGGCCGGGCCCTTGAGCCTCGCCTAGCCCCTCTCGTTCCTGCTCCACCTGGCCACCAAGTGCACGAGCAGAGCCGGCGCTCAATCGTTCTCCGCGTTCGATCCCTTCCCCATGACCGGCTCCCTTTCCCGATCCCCCGGCTCCACCCGCCTCCTCTCCTCTCCCCAATCCGCGGGTGGGCCAAGGGGCGGAACCACCACACCTGGCCCGCTTCGGGTCCGGAGGCGTGTCTGAAGACCCCAGCGTGCGCACCCAAAGTCGCCTCTTCTCCTGACTTTCTCTTCAGCCATTGGGACCAAGAGAGAGAGAGAGAGAGAGAGAGCCCCTCCGGCTGGAGGTATCTCCCACCTCCGCTCCCTCCTTTGTTTTTGCGCCTACCTTCAGGAAAGGTGGGCATCTCCACCTCTCTCTCTCTCTCTCTTGGTCCCAATGGCTGAGGAGAAAGTCAGGAGAAGAGGGGACTTTTGGTGCACACGCCGGGGTCTTCAGGCACGCCTCCGGACCCAAAGCGGGCCAGGCAAGGGAGCAAGTGCGGCAAGTGTAGTTACTGGGATGTATAGTTCACCTACAATCAAAGAGCATTCTGAACTCCACCAATGATGGAATTGAACCAAATATGGCACACAGAACTCCCACGACGAACAGAAAATATATATCAATGATTGGTTGGGAGGGGGGGGGGCACCAAAATACTGTTTGCTTACCGTTGAAAATTACCTAGGGCCGCCTCTGTTCGCTGTCAGCCCTAGCTTCTGCCAACCTAGCAGTTTGAAAACATGCAAATGTGAGTAGATCAATAGGTACCGCTCCGGCGGGAAGGTAACGGCGCTCCATGCAGTTATGCCGGCCACATGACCTTGGAGGTGTCTACGGACAACGCTGGCTCTTCGGCTTAGAAATGGAGATGAGCACCACACCCCAGAGTCAGACATGACTGGACTTAATGTCAGGGGACTACCTTTACCTTTACCTTTACCTTCAGGTACAGCTGTACCAGCACAAATTCTATGAAGCGGTGGGCAGCCTCCTCCAAAGGTAGGTGGTTGTGCTGCATTCTGAGAGGATGAGTTGTTTTCTCCTATGGCACTCATGCAGAGATGTGGGCAAAGTGTCCTTCTATTTGCCGAGATTGAGGAAGGTCAAGAGACAAAGCTAAACCAGAGAGCCATGCAGAGACACAACGGCCTTTATGGATTTTGTGGACAATTTGCGAAAGGAGTCTTTCCTCTGTCCCCCACTTATAGCAACATGCCCTCTTCTGGCATTTAATTTGATATTTAACCTTGGCTGTTAGCTGATTAAAAAGAGACCAATGAATTAAGTCTCATTTTTTATGTTCTCTGGACCGGAGCCCTGGCTTTCAAATGGATTTTGGCACTTAACGTGGACTTCAGCTTTGACTCTGAGGAGGGCTGGAGTGCGGGCAGCTGGGCTTGTCCATCCTTTGGCAAAGAACGGTGTCGCTACACGGGGCCTCCTCTCTGCCCTTTCCCCATCACACAGCTGCCGAGGAAATTACATATTCCCCCCCCCCCCATCCTTCACATCGCGTTTGAATAGCAGAAGTGGCTGCACACTTTCCCCCCCATTTTTTATGGTAAAGTGGGAACAATTTACCAATTCAAATAGCACCCTTCGATTTGTGTCAGCTAAATTGATGCTTGCTCGCTTCATTTCTCTCTGGTTCGGTTTGCAGAAACAGCAGAAAGCGGTGGCGGGGGTGGTGGGAGCGTTTAATGAAGTCTCTGTTTGGCACAATCCACTTTTTATTGTTCCCTTGCAAAACATAAGATAAAAATAAATGACCAGGAGCTGACCGAAGTCATAACACACTTCCTTGGTTAAAAAACTGCTTCCTGAGTTTGCCAGATCTGAACATACAGATTCCATCTGAACATTAGGAAGAACTTTGCTGAGCTTGGAACCCCAAGTTTCGGCGGCGACCAGGGGAGCATTATTATTAATTACTAGCACCCAGTACCCAGCAACTACAATTCCCAAATGAAAAAAATATTTTTTTTTAGTGATGGTCACTCCTTCGGTTAGTAGGTGGCCAAATGTGGTGACAATTCGTCCAGCGGTTTTTGAGTTATGATCTCACTCAAAACGAACAGAGCATTTATATATATATACTAGTTGTCCCCTGCCACGCGTTGCTGTGGCCCAGTCTGGTGATCTGGAAAATAAAGTAATGAGAAAGTGTTGATTTCTAATATATGTAATTCCTTTATGCTTGTGAGTAAACAATATTTCTTGTTGTTTCTTTGTCAGTGTTGATGTGGAGAGTGTCTGGTTTGCCTACTCTGGAATATGCAACATATCATAGTCCTTCTTTAAGGGTCTCTTTCAAATCTATGATACTATATCTGTGTGTGTGAGAGAGAATCATATCTATCTATCTATATTTATGACTGGATGGCTCTTTGTCAGGAGGGCTCTGATTACATTTTCTTGCCCCGGTGAAGAGAGTTGGACTGGATGGCCTTAAGTATTTTCTGTTGGTCATGGGGGTTCTGTGTGGGAAGTTTGCCCCATTTCTGTCGTTTGTGGGTTTCAGAATGCTCTTTAATTGTAGTGAACTATAAATCCCAGTAACTACAAATCCCAAATGTCAAGGTCTATTTCCTCCAAACTCCATCTGTGTTCATATTTAGGCATATGGAATTTTTGTGTCAAGTTCGGTCCAGATCCATCATTGTTTGAGTCCACAGTGCTCTCTGGATGTAGGTGAACTACAACTCCCAAACTCAAGGTCAATGCCCACCAAACCCTTCCAGTGTGTTCTGTTGGTCATGGAAGTCCTGTATGCCATGTTTGGTTGAATTCCATCATTGGTGGGGTTCAGATGCTATTTGATTGTAGGTGAACTATAAATCCCAGTAACTACAAATCCCAAATGTCAAGGTCTATTTTCCCCAAACTCCATCTGTGTCCATATTTGGGCATATGGAATATTTGTGTCAAGTTTGGTCCAGATCCATCATTGAGTCCACAGTGCTCTCTGGATGTGGGTGAACTACAATTCCCAAACTCAAGGTCAATGTCCACCAAACCCTTCCAGTGTGTTCTGTTGGTCATGGAAGTCCTGTATGCCATGTTTGGTTCAATTCCATCATTTGTGGAGTTCAGAATGCTCTTTGATTGTAGGTGAACTGTGAATCCCAGTGACTACAACCCCCAAATGTCAAGGTCTATTTCCTCCAAACTCCATCTGTGTTCATATTTAGGCATATGGAATATTTGTGTCAAGTTTGGTCCAGATCAATCATTGTTTGAATCCACAGTGCTCTCTGGATGTGGGTGAACTACAATTCCCAAACTCAAGGTCAATGCCCACCAAACCCTTCTAGTCTTTTCTGTTGGTCATGGGAGTTCTCTGTGCCAAGTTTGGTTCAATTCCATCATTGGTGGAGTTCAGAATGCTCTTTGATTGTAGGTGAACTATAAATCCCAGCAACTACAACTCCCAAATGACAAAATCATATTTTTTGAGTGATGGTCACTCCTTGTGTTGTGAGATGTTTTGCTGCCAAATTTTTTGAGTGATGGTCACTCCTTGTGTTGTGAGATGTTTTGTTGCCAAATTTGGTGTGATTTCGTTCACTGGTTCTTTTGTTTTTAAGGTACTAATTATGACTACAGCATTTTTATATATATAGATAGATTATCTGATCCTTTCCATAGTTAAGATGATCTAGTCGTGCCTCCTGTCAGGTCAGGAATCCAAAGCTTAAAGCAGCCCTGCATGGTGGACATTTCAACACAGTTTAATAACCTCTAATGAAGGAACATTGACCACCTCTTGAGGTCACCCCTTCCATTGTGGCACGGCTTGTTCCATCAGCAAGTCCTTTCTAATATATTGTTTGAATTAATAATCAGGAAGTACATCAGTTTTGCAGAAATGAATTCTGGCATTTCATTTGGTTCCACCTGGCTGCCCTGTTCCTTTGAACGATCTGGCTTGGCCTCTTATCTCTCCTTCTCCCATCTCCCCCTCTTTCTTCCTTCTCTTCTTCCACAGTTGTCTCCAGCGACAGCGAGAGTGACTCGGAGTTCAGCTCCTCCAGCTTGGATGATCGGTCTGTGCCCGCTGGGTTGAAAGGCTTCAAGATCAGGCAACACCGAACGGAGTCGAGTAAGAAAAACGGCTATTGATGGGTCTGTGTGCACACGCAGGGGCGGGAATTAAAGATTTGTCTGTCAGGACAAAGAGGGAGAACTGTTTGATTTTGCCCTTTCCTGTTGAAGCCGAGCATGACCCCCCCCCTAACAAGGGATGGTGACTTATAGTTCTGCAAAGGACAAAGGTACCAGACTGCACAATAGGGGTTAAGTCTTGGTCAATTTGTCAAGGCCTTAACAAACAATGAGGACCCCATGAAACTTTGGGAATGGCTAGACCTTGGGGTCTCTGCCTCTCTCTCAAGAGAGCTGTAGTTTTCCAAGGACCATGGGACCGGTTTCCATCCCAGCGCTGCAGGGCTTTGCGTCTTGGCCCAGTGGAACTCCATAGACTCCCGTTGGTGCCTTTTTGAATTCTGCTACATTCCTGGACTTCACTCTCTTCAAGGACTTGCTCTCTACCCATGAACTTTCTTCAAGACAACTTATGAATTCATGCTGTGTCCTGATATCATCTGCTTTTTATAATTGGTATTATTATTCTCTCTCTGGTGCCCTGGATGGGAAGATAGCTGCATATGATTTCCCTGTGTATAATTTCTATATGGTTTTTATGTTTCCTTGTATTCTTGACCCTTTGCCCCTTCTCCCTCCAAAGAAATATGTAAGGGAACCCCCTGGACTTCAGAAACAAAAGACTGAAACCTCCCGCCAAAGACACCTTTGCATGGATAAAAGAAGGAGATTCTTATCTCTAGCCTCGGAAGATGGCCCACTAGAGTAAAGCATTGTTTGAAAAAATCTCTGTAAAATAAGGGGAAACCTTCCCTTCTGCTCTTGTTTACTTAGCATTAACCTCAGGCTGCCATCATTGTTCTCCTGTCTCACAGCCAGGAAGGATCAGGACACATGTTGATCCTTTGTCTCACAAGAGCACATGGCATTCTTTTGTTTAAGGACCCGTTTCCCAGATTCCTTTGTGCTCCCTCATCCCACCTCCATCTCTCCTGATTGGCTGTCGCCACCAGGTGGCAGAGGTCTCCCCATTGGTTCCTACGGACCACTGGAGCCCATCGCCCAATCATGGCAGGGAACAACAGGGAAGCCGGGGCGGGGAGTTTGAAGTCTACAACTTTGATTTTTCCTATAAATATGACTGTATTGGTGTATTCCCCTCATGCTTAGCTTGGCGAATGATTGCAGCTTTGCATCCGGTTTCAGCTAATCGCATTAAACTTCGATGGCCTTTCTTCAACTGGTGAGACTTTTCATTGGGAAATCAGGGAAAAATATGGGATGCTTCTCTGTCTCGCCAGGGAAAAAGAACTCTTTGAGGAGTCTAATTGGTCTCTGCCTCCTGGCAAAGACCCCTAAATTTTAGTTCTATAACACTGTCACCTCAGGCAAAAGCAAACTACAGCAGACTCTATGAACAAATAAACACTTACAAATCTCCCTGTTTTGAGAGTTCCCCCTTGAAGCAAAGCACCAGAGTTTTCCAACAGGGAGGTCTAGGTGCCTTTTTAGCAGGGCCGGGCTTTAGCACAGCGGGTTAAACCATCAGCTGCAGAAAATCTTGCCGATTTAAAGGTTGAAGGTTCAAAACTTGGTTGGGGTGAGCTCCCAACTGTCAGCCCAGCTTCTGCTCACCTACCAGTTCAAAAACAGTAGTGTGAGTAGATAAATAGTTTTCCAACAGGGAGGTCTAGGTGCCTTTTTAGCAGGGCCAGGCTTTAGCACAGCGGGTTAAACCACCAGCTGCAAAAAATCTTACCGATTGAAAGATTGACAGTTTAAGCCCTGGTTGGGGTGAGCTCCCAACCATCAGCCCGGCTTTTGCTCACCTACCAGTTCAAAAACAGTAATGTGAGTAGATAAATAGTTTTCCAACAGGGAGGTCTAGGTGCCTTTTTAGCAGGGCCGGGCTTTAGCACAGCGGGTTAAACCACCAGCTGCAAAAAATCTTGCCGATTGACAGTTCAAGCCCTGGTTGGGGTGAGCTCCCAACTATCAGCCCAGCTTCTGCTCACCTACCAGTTAAAAAACAGTAATGCGAGTAGATAAATAGTTTTCCAACAGGGAGGTCTAGGTGCCTTTTTAGCAGGGCCGGGCTTTAGCACAGTGGGTTAAACCGCCAGCTGCAGAAAATCTTACCGATTGAAAGGTTGACAGTTCAATCCCAGGTTAGTGTGAGCTCCCAACCAGCAGCGCAGCTTCTGCTCACTTACCAGTTCAGAAACAGTAATGTGAGTAGATAAATAGTTTTCCAACATGGGGGGTTTTGTGCCTTTTTAGCAGGGCCGGGCTTTAGCACAGTGGGTTAAACCTTGGTTAGGTTGAGATCCCAACCGTCAGCCCAGCTTTTGCTCAGCTACCACTTCAAAAACAGTAATGTGAGTAGATAAATAGTTTTCCAACAGGGAGGTCTAGGTGCCTTTTTAGCAGGGCCGAGCTTTAGCACAGCGGGTTAAACCGCCAGCTGCAGAAAATCTTGCCGATTGAAAGGTTGACAGTTCAAGCCCTGGTTAGGTTGAGCTCCCAACTGTCAGCCCAGCCTCTGTTCACCTACCAGTTCAAAAACAGCAATGTGATTAGATAAATAGTTTTCCAACAGGGAGGTCTAGGTGTCCTTTTAGCAGGGCCAAGCTTTAGCACAGCGGGTTAAACCACCAGCTGCAGAAAATCTTGCCGATCTAAAGGTTGACAGTTCAGGCCTTGGTTGGGGTGAGCTGCCAACCGTCAGCCCAGCTTCTGCTCACCTACCAGTTCAAAAACAGTAATGTGAATAGATAAATAGTTTTCCAACAGGGAGGTCTAGGTGCCTTTTTAGCAGGGCCGAGCTTTAGCACAGCGGGTTAAACCGCTACTGCAGAAAATCTTGCCGATTTAAAGGTTGACAGTTCAAGCCTGGGTTGGGGTGAACTCCCAACCATCAGCCCAGCTTCTGCTCACCTACCAGTTCAAAAACACTAATGTGAGTAGATAAACAGGTATTGTTTTGACGGGGAGATAATAGAAAAGGTGGCCATTCAAACCTGGGGAGGGTGTCTAAAGACAACAAAGCTCCTCGGCATGGAAGATAGAGTGACAGCACCCCCCGTGGCCAGAGACAAGCACAGCGTTTAGATGCCAGAGATGGAAAAAGATGGGAAGCCTTTACGTCTGTTTATGTACTGTCTGTCTTTGTTAAATTTTATTGATTGTTTGCCGTATATGTGTATTGTAATCTGCCCTGAGTCCCCTCGGGGAGATAGGGCGGAATATAAATAATGTATATTATATTATTATTAACCTACAAATCTCAGGATTTCAAGGGGTGCCAGTTAAAGTAGTATCAAATAGATTAAGATTGTGTAAGGTAAAGACATTCAGAGTTTGGTAGATGTACAAATATGTAACACTCGCAGGCGCGATTGGTGGGGACGAGAGAGAGGGCCTTTTCGGTGGTGGCCCCTCGACTCTGGAACTCACTCCCTAAAGACATCAGACAGGCCCCAACTCTGGCAGTCTTCAGGAGGAGCTTGAAGACGTGGCTGTTCCAGTGTGCCTTCCCGGAATAATGATCCCATAGCACTTTGTCCTCCAAAGCACTTTACATTTCTTTAGGTCTGCTCGTATGCCCTTCCACAAACACCATTATCACCTTTTTTTCATGTCCCAGCATTATTTCCAATTTTAACTCTACATTTGGCCTTCCCACTGTTTTTAATTGTGTGTTGTCTTATTGATAACGTTGTGTATTTTATTGTCTATGTTTTTAATTGCTTGTTGTTGTTATTGTTGTATTGTTGTGTTTGGGCTCGGCCTCATGTAAGCCGCACCGAGTCCCTTGGGGAGATGGTAGCGGGTACAAATAAAGTGTTGTTATTATTATTATTATTATTATTATTATTATTATTATTGTGAGCAGACATACAAAACTTTAGATGTTTAAGAAAGGATGTTGGAATGATAGATAAGCAGTCCCCAAGTTACAAACCTCTGACTTACAAACAAATAATAGCTAAGAACGGGGATGAGACAACAGGAAGTGAGAGAAAGCTATCCCTCAGAAGGGAAATTCACTCCTGAAAGAGTTATTGAAGTCAATACGGACTTTAGGGGGGTAAACTCCAAGGGGAGATGACCCTTAGTTCCCACCAAAGAGGGAACACTACCTTGGCGAGCCGTCAGAGAAGCCTGATTCCAGCAATTTTATTAATATTAATAATTGAAATGAGACTCTTGCCAAGGCGAAGAAGTGGCACCGAGGTTTATTGGCGATTCAGCTGAGACGGATGCAAATGCGGGGATAGCTCACCCACAAGCATAACAGTACATTGATTAGAGGCATATTTATAGCAAATTCAACCAATCAGGAAGCTCCAGTGGTCCGTAGGAACCAATGAGGAGACCTCTGCCACCTGGTGGCGACAGCCAATCAGGAGAGATGGAGGCGGGATGAGGGAGCACAAAGGAATCTGGGAAAGGAGTAAACAAAGGAAATGCCATGTGGCCGGCGAGACAAAGGGGAAATCTCAAGCCAGCCTGATCTATCAACATGTGTAGACTGGGGTGATTGTTTCTTGGTGGAGATAGCTGAGTTAATCAGAGCAAAGGCAAAAGGTTTTTCGAGGACCTTTTGTCCTTCAGGAGGAAATATGATTAAGATTTTTTGCCAAAGGGGCAAGCTGAGGGCTGGGCAATTCCTCCGAGGGCCACCAGCTGCCCAGGCTATTGTTCATGCAAAAGGAAGTTGTGGATAAAAAAAAATCCTGGAATGTTTGGGGCTTTGTAGTCCCTTTGGTGGAGTTTCTTCATGTATATAGGGGAAACAAAGGTCAGAAGAAAAGGGGAAAGACTTCTGCCACACAAAGAAATCAGAAAACACATTTCATACATACATTTCATACATATAAGAGTGTCCATAGGGGATGGCTAAAACGCAAGGGTGTTGCACAAAGGTCCTGGCAGGAGTTCTTGAGTGGCCCAAATGGAACAAGCGTTGCTCCCCGTCCTTGGAGAACTACAGCTCCCGAGAGAGGCAGAGACCCCAAGGTCTAGCTATTCCCGAAGTTTCACGGGGTCCTCATTGTTGTTAAGGCCTTGGCAAATTGACCAAGACTTAACCCCTATTGTGCAGTCGGGTACCTTGGTCCTTTGCAGAACTATAAGTCCCCATCCCTTGTTGGGGGGGGGCATGCTCAACATCATTATTATCATGGGGAAAAGGGGTCTCCACTGAAGCTTTATCCCAATTCTTGTTTCTTCAACAATCCAAAAATGTTCAAAATCCAGTAATCACAGGGACAGGTGGAGGTTGAGGCATTACTTTTCATTCAACCCTCGTATAGTCGGTAATCAACTGCCTGAATAAACCAAAAAAAAGTCTCAACTTGTCAGCAAAAAGGAAGTCAGAAGGGTGAAGATTTCCCCATATGGTTGGTGCGATTGTATACATCCCATATGGTTGGTGCGATTGTGTACATCCCATATGGTTGGTGCGATTGTGTACATCCCTTCTCAAACACAATTCCTGCTCAGATCAGAGGGGTTTATTACAGGCAAAGCTGGAACACAACCTTAAAGGATTTGATTTTTTTTTTTTTTGGGTGGACTCCTTTTACCCCGTCATATTTTCTTATAACTCCCAGCACATTTGTAATATATTTATATTGCGGCCCGATTTTAATCTATTGCCTCTGTTGACATTGATAGATGATTGTTCTAAGGCTCCTCGAACGGCAGTCCCTGCGTGATAGATGACGCCCCATCATCTGTGGGCAATGGATTGGCTTTTTATTCTATTGACAAGATAGACTCTTGCAGGCATTTGTCTCAAAACGGATGGGCACAGAGAGATACAGAAGGGCCTTATTGAAGCCGAGCATGTCCCCCCCCCTCCCCAAATAAGGGATAGTAACTTACAGTTTTCCAAGGACAAAGGACCAGAGTTGATCTCAATGTGGTGGGTCTCCCTTAGCTGGCTCAGTGGAACCTCTGAGACTTTCTCTTATGAATTTTATACTTTTATTCAAGGAAGGGAAATGAATTTCTACCCTTATGAACTGTGGACACATATTATTATTTCATGGTTTCCCCGTGGCAGCCCCCCCCCCCCCCATTTGACCTTTTCCCCCTTCTCCTCATGAAGAAATCCCCCCAGGAAACTGCAGAGCCCAGGCATTCACTAAAGAACTTTAATCCAGAATTTCCTTTGCATGAAAAATAAACTGGCAGGCAGCTTTGTTCTCGGAGGATTGCCCAACAATGCTGTTTGCCCCCTGGCAGACCCCTAATCATTTTTCTACCTGGAGGTCAGGGGACCCTCGAAAAGCCCCCACCTTCGCACTGGTTGATTTAACTAACTTCCCACTAAGGAACATTCACCCCAGTTTCACCCTCATTGTCCTCATGTTTGCTGGCTAGTAAAATCCTGACTTGCCTTTACACATGTTGATTCATTCCAATCAAAACACAATAGATCAGGCTTGCTTGAGACTTTGTCTCGCAGGCCACATGTCATTTTTTTACTTCATTCATAAGATTCCTTTGTGTTCTATCATCCCGCCTTCCTCTCTCCTAATTTGCTATCGCTGCTAGGCAGCAGGAGCCTCCCCATTGGATCCTACGGACCGCTGGAGCTTCCTGATTGGTCCAGAGGCGCCGGGGGCAGGAGGGCCGCCTCCCAGCTGTTTGCCCATTGTCCAATCACGGTGGAGGGAAGCAGGGAAGCCGGGGCGGGAAGTTTGAACTCTGCAACTTTGAATTTACTATAAATAATATTGATGTATTCTCTTTATGCTCTGCTGGCGAATGATTGCAGCTCTGCATCCTTTTCAGCTGGATCGCTAAATAAACCTTGATGGCTTTTCTTCAACCTTGGTGAGATTTATTTGGGAAAAATCAGGGAAAATTCTGGACCTTTCTCCTCTTTCGCTTACCAAGGGTTTCGGACTCTCTTTGGTGGGTCTAAGGGCTCCTCTCTCCTGGGCAGGAGCCTCCAAATTCTAGTTCGATATCATTATCAGCTGTAGATGCTGTGTAACATATTCCTTTTAAAAAGAAATTGAAATAAATAAGAACTCAACAGCTGGGAGAGGAGAACGGGACAGAATTTTGCCCCCTTCTCTGTAGGCTCATGCAGAAGCAAAGTGCTGGACCTTCTCCGAGTTAGTCTGTTGTTCCTCATTCACCGTGACGGCATTCTGATGTTGTTTGTTCAGTACATCCCAGTTTGAAATGTCGGAGGGCTAGCCATCCTGATGTCCGATTCCTTTGCTTTCCATGCAGTGTCCAGTAGTGAGGTTGCCCGTACCCCCAGCAGAAGCACCAGCCGGGCCCTGGGCAGCATCCGGTCGGAGAGCCAGAGCAGCTTGGGCAGCGAGCGAGGAGGAGGCCTGAGCGCCACGGAGAGCTGCCACAGTGACCTGCCAGCTGAGGACGAGGACAGTGATGCCCACCACAGTGTGGCTGGTGAGTGGGATGTGTGTACGAGGGTTGAATGAAAAGTAATGCCTCCACCTTCGCTACTTGGGTTTGGATGGGAGTATTTTAATAAATCAAAACGCAGAAATAATCCTTAGAATCATAAAATCATAGAGTTGGAAGAGATCTCATGGGCCATCCAGTCCAACCCCCTGCCTAGAAAGGCCAGGCCAAGATTTGTGCCAAAATTCTAGGGAGCCCGGGAATTAAGTGCAATGCTATGGCAGGCAACAATAATATTAGGTACGGGTCTGTGGCTGTTCATTCCGGGGCCGGTTAGAGGAAAGAATCTGGGTAATTGGTAGGAAGAATAAGGCCGTATTCGACAATGTGTAGGGCTGAGTTAGAACTGGTCATTTTCAAAGGCTTGTTGAAACCACCAGGTCTTCAAGCTCTTACAAAAGAAGGGGAGGGATTATTATTATTATTATTATTATTATTATTAGCTTTATTTGTACCCCGCTAGCATCTCCCGAAGGACTCGATGCGGCTTACACTGGCCAAGGCCTCAATAAAAACATAGCATAACAAAATACACAACTTAAAACAAATCAAAACAATATCAAACAACAAACAATAAAACAATACACCAAAAACACAAGAAAATGGGCGGGCTAATGTAATGGGTACAGGTTAAAAGTGCTGATGTGACAGGTGGTATATCGGATTTTAGGGTAAGTGCAGTGTGCGGGCAATCTTAAACTCTAATAAAGTGCTTCTGGGACATGTTATTGGAGTTTTCTTATTTTGGAAAGGCACATCGGAACAGCCAGGTCTTCAAGTTCTTCCTAAAGACTGCCAAGGTAGGGGGCTGTCTGATATCTTTAGGGAGGGAGTTCCAGAGTCGGGGGGCTACCACAGAAAAGGCCCTGTCTCGCGTCACCACCAGATGCGCCTGCGACGCAGGTGGGATCGCGAGCAGGGTCTCTCTGGATGAACGAAGAGAACGCGTCTGTTCATAAACGGAGATGTGGTCATAAACAGGGATGGGGCCTGTGCTGTCGCACACTGGGCCTGAAATAATGTCTGTTTACAGGACGTGCCTTCTGTATGCCCAACATGATGCTGGGGTGCCTCAGCTGAAGGGCCCCTTAGATTTCCCAACACAAAGTTCTATTGAGGCTCAAAATAAGTTCAACAAAGTTCTTTATTTGGGCTTTAATCTTCAAACAAATGAATTAAATGCTTTATAACCAAACTTGGCATGAATACTCCATTTGCCCAAATGTGAACACTGGTGGAGTTTGGGGAAAACAGACCTTGACGTTTGGGAGTTGTAATTGCTGGAATTTATAATTCACCTGTAATCAAAGAGCATTCTGAAGCTCACCAATGATACAATTCTGCCAAACTTCCCACACAGAACCCCCATGACAAAAGAATATACTGTGTTTTCTGATGGTCTTTGGTGACCCCTCTCTCAATCTTGTCCACAGGGAACAGGCACTATCTTCATAACTGTAACTAATGGGGAAATCCTTAACTTCTAATCTGGGCAGTCTGTCTTTGCCTCTGTTGGCGTGGAGCCCCTGCACCCGGTACCAACTGCTTCTGGCTTCCGTGAGTGACCCTTACCAAGCAGAGCTTTGTAGACTTCCAGGGAAAAGGGAGTTCAGGTTTCAGTGATGGCTGGCTGAAGTCCCTCAGCAAAGGCTGTATGATCCTCGGCCAAGCTGTGGGCTGTATAACCCCGGCCAAGCTGTAGAAGACGAAGCTTTCTACAGGAGCTCTTGGTATTATGTCCTGCATGAAAGGCTTCTCTGTGTGGACTGAACCCAAAATGGCTCATATTCCCTCCAAAACCCAAAAAGGGGGCGGGACCAGGGAACCTAACTATAATTGACAGGTGGCTTGCCCTATGATTGCAGCCAAAAGAAGCCACCTATCTGCAGAGTCCCTGAAACTTAGGACTACAACAAACATTCAATGCAAAGCAAACAAAATTGGAGCTCCTGGTGCAGTTGTACCTGCACAAGGTCCTCCTTTGCCTCCAAAACCCTGAGAAAAGGGGTGAGGTCTAAAGACTCTAACGATGATTGCCAGGTTGCTGGCCCTATGACTGTAACCTGGGGAAACTACTCTGATTACAAAATGCATGGCTAAATAAATTCATACAAACTAGCAGTGCAAGAAAAAGAAATTTAAATCTCCTGGCACTACCGTGCCAGCACAGGGCCTGTCTTATTTCCCTTGGAAGGGCGTTCCAGAGACGGGGGCCACCACTGAGAAGGCTCTCTCTCTCGTCCCCACCAGTAGTGGGACCAAGAGGAGGGCCTCCCCGGAAGATCTTAGAGCTCGTCCCGGTTCATAGAAGGAGATGTGATCGCGGAGATAGGCGGGGCCCAAACCATTTAGGGCTTTATAGGTCATGACCTGCACCTTGAATTTGGCTTGGCGACTTATCGGCAGCCAATGAAGCTGTTTTATGTTGCTATGCAATGTGTGCTGCCTCTACACCCTGGGCTCCTTGTTTTCCATTTTCAAAAACTTCTCCAGATTTTGCCTCCAATGTCTTCCTTTTCCTGCACACCCTCTCTGCCTCTCCCCCCTCCCCGGATTCTTATTACCCAAGATAACTTACCGCTAAAGCATTAACGGAGCTTGTTTTCAACCAGCAGCCAAGCTAGCAATCCATAACTCTCTGCTTCATTATGGTTCTTAGTGAGATTTTAATGATTCCTGCGAAGGGATGGGGCGGTGGGACGCCGAGGAGCAGTGGAGCGCTCTTGGGAACGTCAGGTTTCTGCATCTGAACAAAGATCCCTGGGGACCCTCTTGCTCAGAAAGTTGTATTTTTAAAATAAAAAACCAACCATTTATGAGAGAAGCCGGTAATCAGAACACCTACTGTTTCTTTTAATTACTCGCTTTAACTTTTCACTAAACCCTGCCTCACTTAATAATCCTTCTAACGGCTTACACATTTTGCCTTAATGAGCCATTTTCCTCTGTTGTACCCAACTACAAGGACAAAAATCCCACAGAAGCCGTCCAAATTCCAAATTTTCAGGTTGCCTGCCAGTTGATGGCAGACCCAGATGGTGTCTCCTTAATGACTACTAATATCTCAGGAGGCTCGTTTTTAAAAAAGAATGATTATCTGAAGTTCTGTTGTTGGAAGGTAACAAAAGGAGGGAAGATTACAGCCTCCGAGGATGCCTGCCATAGATGTGAATAAAATGTCAGGAGAGAATGCTTCTGGAACATGGCCATACAGCCCAAAAAACCTACAAGAACCACTTTAACTCAGTGTTATGGAATTATAGAGCTGATTGTTGGTTTTGTTTTATGCTTTACTACTGAACCTGGCCCCTCTCTCATTCCCACCAGCTGTGCTTGAGATGGGGTGGGACTGAGAGCAGGGCCTCCTCCGCTGGTCGTAGTGCCCGAGCAGCTTTGTAAATGGAGCTGCGGTTTACCAAATAGTCTGATTATTGATTTTATTTTATGCTTTACTACTGAACCTGGCCCCCTCTCTTATTCCCACCAGCTGTGCTTGAAATGGGGTGGGACTGAGAGCAGGGGCTCCTCCGCTGGTCGTAGTGCCCGAGCAGCTTTGTAAGTGGAGCTGCGGTTTGTCAAATAGTCTGATTGTTGATTTTGTTTTATGCTTTACTATTGAACCTGCCCCCACTCTCTCATTCCTACCAGCTGTGCTTGAGATGGGGTGGGACTGAGAGCAGGGGCTCCTCTGCTAGTCGTAGTGCCCGACCAGCTTTGTAAGTGGAGATGCGGTTTGCCAAATAGTCTGATTGTTGATTTTGTTTTAATGCTTTACTACTGAACCTGGCCCCCTCTCTCATTCCCACCAGCTGTGCTTGAGATGGGGTGGGACTGAGAGCAGGGCCTCCTCCGCTGGTCGTAGTGCCCGAGCAGCTTTGTAAATGGAGCTGCGGTTTACCAAATAGTCTGATTATTGATTTTATTTTATGCTTTACTACTGAACCTGGCCCCCTCTCTTATTCCCACCAGCTGTGCTTGAAATGGGGTGGGACTGAGAGCAGGGGCTCCTCCGCTGGTCGTAGTGCCCGAGCAGCTTTGTAAGTGGAGCTGCGGTTTGTCAAATAGTCTGATTGTTGATTTTGTTTTATGCTTTACTATTGAACTGCCCCCCCTCTCTCATTCCTACCAGCTGTGCTTGAGATGGGGTGGGACTGAGAGCAGGGGCTCCTCTGCTAGTCGTAGTGCCCGACCAGCTTTGTAAGTGGAGATGCGGTTTGCCAAATAGTCTGATTGTTGATTTTGTTTTAATGCTTTACTACTGAACCTGGCCCCCTCTCTCATTCCCACCAGCTGTGCTTGAGATGGGGTGGGACTGAGAGCAGGGGCTCCTCCGCTGGTCGTAGTGCCCGAGCAGCTTTGTAAGTGGAGCTGCGGTTTGTCAAATAGTCTGATTGTTGATTTTGTTTTATGCTTTACTATTGAACCTGCCCCCCCTCTCTCATTCCTGCCAGCTGTGCTTGAGATGGGGTGGGACTGAGAGCAGGGGCTCCTCTGCTGGTCGTAGTGCCTGAGCAGCTTTGTAAGTGGAGATGCGGTGTGTCAAATAGTCTGATTGTTGATTTTGTTTTATGCTTTACTACTGAACCTGGCCCCCTCTCTCATTCCCACCAGCTGTGCTTGAGATGGGGTGGGACCGAGAGCAGGGGCTCCTCTACTGCTCATAGTGCGTGAGTAGCTTTGTAAGTGGAGCTGCTGTTTGCCAAATAATCTGATTGTTGGTTTTGTTTTATGCTTTACTATTGAACCTGGCCCCCTCTCTCATTCCCACCAGCTGTGCTTGAGATGGGGTGGGACTGAGAGCAGGGGCTCCTCCGCTGGTCGTAGTGCCCGAGCAGCTTTGTAAGTGGAGCTGCTGTTTGCCAAATAGTCTGATTGTTGATTTTGTTCTATGCTTTACTACTGAACCTGTCTGTTGAGGGTTGTATACTGAGCAGTGGGAGATTCAGAGCAGGCGGAAGGAAGTAATTTTCCCACAGAGCTAGTCCTTAGAACCGTGCAGTTTGCATCCACAAGATGGTGCGCTGGCTGCCAGGTCTCAAAACGGGGATGAGAGAAACACATGTCTCCCTGAAGCTCCCACGCAAGCATGCCCGGCCCTGGCGATATACTTCTAGGGCTCATTTGTTCCCACACATAGGCTGTAGACGGAAGTGGAGAGGCACCCTGTTGGCTTTGAAACTCAGCTGAAACCCGCTTTTCCGCCAACAGAAGAGCGAAGGAGGGAAAGCGGCTAATATAGTTCGATCCTCCTACAATATGTTCACAGTTAATAGAGAAAGCTGCTTGACTGACAATCTGGAAAGACTGAATCCAGGGAGGAAGAGGCTAATGCCGCTGGAGAGTGACTGGCAGCCAAAATGGCCAGTGGATTTCACTTTTGGCTGTAGATCAGCACAATCTGGCAGGAGAGGGTTCTAGTTTTCATGCAGTCATGAGTGTCAGGAGAAGCCAGTCTCATTCTCTCTTGCTTTCAACGTAGTCATAGAATCATAGAATCATAGAGTTGGAAGAGACCTCATGGGCCATCCAGGGCGGAAACAGAGTGTCGACTTCTTCTGTAACAGCTTCAGAAAACTTGTTATAGAATCACAGAATCATAGAGTTGGAAGAGACCCCATGGGCCATCCAGTCCAACCCCCTGCCAAGAAGCAGGAAAATTGCATTCAAAGCACTCCCGACAGGTGGCCACCCAGCCTCTGTTTAAAAGCTTCCAAAGAAGGAGCCTCCACCACACTCTAAGGCAGAGAGTTCCACTATTGAACAGCTCTCACAGTCAGGAAGTTCTTCCTCATGTTCAGATGGAATCTCCTTTCTTGTAGTTTGAAGCCATTGTTCCACGTCCTAGTCTCCAAGGAAGCAGAAAACAAGCTTGCTCCCTCCTCCCTATGACTTCCTCTCACATATTTATACATGGCTATCATATCTCCTCTCAGCCTTCTCTTCTTCAGGCTAAACATTCCCAGCTCTTCAAGCCGCTCCTCATAGAGCTTGTTCTCCAGTCTACCTTACAGGGTTGAGCTTATTGAAGGAGAAGTAGAATAGCAGCATCACCTCTCTCCCCAGATATGAGATGGGTCTTTGTTTTCTCTCCTTATTTGCCTTCTCAACCCTGGTTTTCTTTAAAGTGCTTGTCATGACCAATAGATTCCTATTGTAATTTTATATTGCTATGTTTTCACATGTTCTACGTAATTATGTGTTGTTGTTTATTGTTTGCGTTTTCGGTTTTATTTTATTGTAATTTGTTGTTTGGGCTTGGCCTCATGTAAGCTGCTCCGAGTCCCCATTGGGGAGATGGTGGGAGGTATAAAGATTATTATTATTATTATTATTATTATTATTATTATTATTATTATATACCTGAGGTCCCAGCTATTTAACATACGAGGGTTGAATGAAAAGTAATGCCTCCACCTTCGTTACTTGGGTTTGGATGGGAATATTTTAATAAATCAAATGCAGAAATAATCCTTAGAATGTGCTCTTCAACTACCACTATTCACTTTTCCACATAATCACCAGACCATTGGATACATTTCTGCCAACGATGAACAAATTTTCTGAAGTCGTCACAGAAGAAGTCGATACTCTGTTTCCGCAACCAGCGTCTCACAGTTCCCTCAACGTTTTCATCAGAAGCATAATGATGTCCCCGCAGAACTTCTTTCATTATTGGGAACAGATGGAAGTCAAGACAGTTCTAAATCTGGACTGTATGGAGGATATTGTACAGTTGTATGATCCAGTCTCTGAAGTTTCTAGTCTGTGTGCTTTCATTTCAAGCATCAGCATCCTGGGTACTCATCGTGCACAGATCTTCCGATAGCCAGGCAAAGCAATAATGTGATCCACATGTTCTCCTTTGGGGTGACACCTTCTGCTGTCAAGAATTCAATGACTGCACATTACATTTTTGCCAACGATGAACAAGTTTTCTGAATCCGTCATGGAAGAAGTCAACATTCTGTTTCCGCAACCCATCGTGCAAAGATCTTTCAACAGCCTAGCAAAGAAATAACATGTTCTTGTGAAATGCCTATTATGCTTGAAATTTCTCTCTGAGTGATACGATGATCGTCCTGAATCCATTTGTCAACCTTTTGCTCGTGAAACTTGGTGGTTGCTGTCACAGGACGTCCAACTCTTTGTCACGCAAGTCAGATGTTTCCACCTCAACATCTTTAAACTTCCTCGCCCAACGATGCACAGTACTCACATCAACACAATCACCATAAACAGCTTGCATTCTCTGATAAATCTCCTTTGGGGTGACACCTTCTGCTGTCAAGAATTCAATGATTGCACTTTGCTTAAGTCGCATTGACTGACCGTCTGCACAGGGTTCCATACACAGGGTTCCATACTTCGCACTTTAGCAACACAACCGTTCAATGCTAAGGCTTCCCGCCAAATTGAACTGTAGAGGAGAGTCTACTGAACAAGCCAGTACTGCCGCATACTAGTACTGCCATCTATTGAGGAGTTACGAAGGTGGAGGCATTACTTTTCATTCAACCCTTGTATTATGCTTCTTCATATGAACCTGCTAGGGCTGTGAGGTGCTCTTCTGCAAGGGCCTTAATGGAGGCTGTCTTTGGGCCCTCACTTTTATACCCTTCTGTCAGCAGATAAACACACTTTTTTATTTTATTTCGACAGGGTTGTACAACTGAAGAAGGACATAGACAAGTCAGAGCAGCTTCAGAAGGATAAGAAGTATGGAGAACCAAACATATCAGGGAAAATTTGGAAAGAAGACTAAGGAGCGATATGATTGGCATCTGTAAAATTTTAAAAGGGAGGAGAGAGAAAACCTTATTCTCTGTTGCCCTAGAGCAGTGGTTCCCAACCTGTGGTCCGTGGACCACCAATGGTCTGCAAGAACTAAAATATGGTTCACGGCCTCATCGTTACTACACTGTTGCAATGAGAGTGACTGGTCTTGCAAAACCCTCTTATAGTGCTGAGACTTGTTAAATATAGTTTTCTATGGGCAAACAGATGGTGACTACTGGGTGGCATATGTTCTGTATCAGAAACTAGAGCCGATGTGGTCTATCCAGTGCAATTTTCTGAATCAGCATCCCAAAGAACTAAACTGAATCTAAAGTTGACCAAAAACTGATTCATAATTCTTTTGGTGCTAATGTTAGAAAGTGTCCCTGCTCCAGTGGTCTCTGGTCAAATGGTCCCTGGTCAAAGTGGTTCCTGGTCAAAGTGGTTCCTGGTTAAGTAGTCCCTGGTCAAGTGTTCCTTGGTCAAAATGGTCCCTGGTCAAGTGGTCCCTGGTCAAGTGTTCCCTGGTCAAAGTGGTCCCTGGCCAAAGGGGTCCCTGGTCAAAGTCGTCCCTGGTCAAGTAGTCCTTGGTCAAAAGGGTCCCTGGTCAAGTGTTCCCTCATCAAAGTGGTGCCTGATCAAAGTGGTTCCTGGTCAAGTAGTCCCTGCTTAAGTGTTCCCTGGTCAAAGTGGTCCCTGGTCAAGTAGTCCCTGGTCAAGTGTTCCTTGGTCAAAAGGGTCCCTGGTCAAGTGTTCCCTGATCAACGTGGTCCCTATGAAAGTGGTTCCTGTGAAAGTGGTCCCTGGTCAAAGTGGTTCCTGGTCAAGTAGTCCCTGGTCGTGTTCCTTGGTCAAAAGGGTCTCTGGTCAAGTAGTCCCTGGTCAAAGTGGTCCCTGATCAAAGTGGTCCCTGGTCAAGTGGTTCCTGGTCAAGTAGTCCCTGCTCAAGTGTTCCCTGGTCAAAGGGGTCCCTGGTCAAAGTGGTCCCCGTGAAAGTGGTCCCTCTTCAAAGTGGTCCCTGGTCAAGTGGTCCCTGGTCAAGTAGTCCCTGGTCAAGTGGTTCCTGGTCAAGTAGTCCCTGGTCAAGTGTTCCCTGGTCAAAGTGGTCCCTGTGAAAGTGGTCCCTGGTCAAAGTGGTTCCTGGTCAAGTAGTCCCTGGTCAAGTGTTCCCTGGTCAAAGTGGTCCTTGTGGAAGTGGCCCCTGGTCAAATGGTCCCTAGCCAAAGTGGTTCCTGGTCAAGTGGTCCCTGGTCAAGTGTTTCCTGTTCAAAGTGGTTCCTCTTCAAGTGGCCCCTGGTCAAAAAAAGGCTGGGAACCACTGCCCTAGAGGGTAGCACCAGACCCAATGATTTGACGTTACAGAAGGGCAGATTTCAAATACTCTGAGGAATGATCGTAAGAGCTGTTTGACAATGCAACCAATCCCCTAAAAGGAGTGAGGTTTCTTCCTCTGGGATGTCTTTGAACAGAGCAGGCTATATCTGGGCTTCCTGCACCAAACCCAATCTCCTTTGGGCCCTCTTCCAACTTTTACGACTCTATGAGAACCTTTTTATCTGTTTATTTATCTTTTCAAATAGGGAGAAGACGTCTCCTGAGAAGCCACTGGTGATGATGGGACCCAAACACTTGGGGTTCTACGGCATGTGCCATTTTCTCGCCTGCCCATTGCATGGTCCTCTGTGTCGATGTCAACTCCAGGAGTGAGACCTGTCATGGCCTTAGTAGAGCCACCCTTGCCTGGGCGGAGAAGAGGACTTCACCATGGATGCCCCGCTGTGTTTGTCTTTGCATCATGCTTGTCTTGCCACCAAACCAAATTGTGAGGTTTGGCCCAAAGTGTGTGTGCGTATCTGTGTGGTATTGTAGGGATGGAAGAATGAAGAACCCAGAATCAGTGAGGTAGGCAACCTATTTGCAACGAACTCCGGATATTGAGGTACTGGATGGAGGATTCTGGGCATACCGAAGGGCCAGTTTGCTGTTGCGTTGCGCCTAAATTATACTTTCTGGATGGCTTGTGGATGATCCATTTTGTGTGGCCAAGCGAGGGAAAGAGGGGGAGACAGTCACTCCTCCTTCCTGCTTCTGTCTCCTCAAAGTGACCTTCTCAGCCAGAAGAGTTGATGGATTAGGCTTATCACACAATAACCATGCAGTCTGGTTGGAGGTGTGGGACGGGATGGGAATGAGGTGACGGGGGAAATAACCTTCTCGGATGCTTCACAAATATCTCCGCCTTTTTTACACTACACAATAATTAGCATGAGGATTTCATTTGAACTGACGTGACTGGGAAGATCTATTTTGCATAGTCTGCCAGACTCTCCGGGATCTGTAGCATACAAGTGGCATCATCTATATAAATAAAAATGTAATGTTCGTTTGTGCTATTCACAGAACTCAGAAACCACTGGGACAATTGACACCAAATTTGGACACTATGTCCCTAACAACCCAATGTATGTTCTCCACTCAAAAACACAACGAAAACAAAAAGCAGAAAGGACTTCTAAACTGCATGTCCACAAAGGAGAAACTGCATGTCTACAGAGACCCATGGCCGCGCCCCCCTTCTCCTCCTCGCGGGGAAACAGCCAGCCGTTAAAGCCAGGCGCACGTGCGCGGCCACACACACACACACAAGTGAGTGGAGTGGAGGTGGAGGCTTGCCGCATGCAGCCCCTTCTCTTCCTCTCCTATGTCAGGAGAGCAGTCTCCTCCTCCTTTCCCTGTTGGAAAGTGCTAGCAGCAGCAACGGAGTGCTCCACGCAAGGAAGAAGGGGAGGAGGAGGAGGAGGGGAGGGGGAGGCGAGGATGGTCCACGGTGCTTGAATGAAGGACCTTCCTTCTCTCCCTCCCTTCTTTCCTCCCTTTTCTTTCTTTCCTTTTCTTCTTTCCTTCTCCTTCCTTTCCTTCTTTCCCTCCTTCCCTTCCTTCCTGTCCCTCCTTCCTTTTTCCTTTCCTTCTTTTCCTTCCTCCCTCCCTTTCCTCCTTCTTTCCCTTTCTTCATTTCCTTCCCTCCCTCCTTTCTTCATCCCCCTCCTTCCTTTCCTTTCCTTCCTTCTTCTTCCTTCTCCTTCCTTCTTCTTCCCTCCTTCCCTTCCTCTTTCTCCTTCTTCCTTCCCTTTCCTTCCCTCCTCCTTTCCTTCCTTCTTTCCCTTTTTTCTTTCCTTCTCTCCTTCCTTCCTTCTCTCACTTTTTTTGTTCTCTTGCATTAGCAACATTATGAGTCTTCCCTATGGTCGTTAAGATACTGGAACACATACGGTACTGTTGGCATGTCCTTCCTTCTTCCTTCCTCCCTCCTTCCTTCTGTCCTTCCTTCCTTCTTCATCCTCTCCTTTCTTTCCCTCCTTCCTTCCTCCCTCCTTCCTTCCTTCTCCTCCCTCCCTCCCTGTCCCTTCTTCTTTCTTTTCCTTCCTTCCCTTCTTTCCCTCCCTCGCTTCCTTTTTCCTTCCTTTCTGTCCCTCCTTCCTTCCTTCTTCCTTTCCTTCTTTCTATGTAAGATATAAATACAATATTAAATGGAAGGGACAGTCAAGAAGTAACGAGAGAAGGAGGGAAAGAGGGAAGGAAGGAAGGAGAGAAGGAGGGAGGGAAAGAAGGAAAGAAAGAAAGAGAAGCAAGGAAGGAGAGAAGGAAATAAAAAAGTGAAAGGAAAAAGAGGGAAGGAAGGAGAGAAGGAACGAAAGATAGGGAAGGAAGGAAGGAAGGAAGGAAGGAAGGAAGGAAGGAAGGAAGTAACCAAAGAGCAAAGAAAGGGAGGAAAGAAACAAGTAGAGATGGAAGAAAGATGAGAGATAGGGAAAGAAAAAGAGGAAAGGGAGGAAAGAGGGAAGGGAGGAGAGAAAGAGGGAGGGAAGGTTGGCCACAGAAACGCGTGGCGGGTACAGCTAGTAATATAATAATTATGCAGCATAAAAGGGTCCCTAGTCTCTCTGTGTGGCATAGGGTATATTATGTAAGAGGCTGGCTGCTTGTTTAATTTATTGTGTAGTTTGCTGTGTATTCATGGTTTCTTGGTATCTTGTGATGGAAAGCATCTCATTTGTGACCTCTTGTTGGTGAACTGTGTTGTTTTTCCGCATGTTACGTATGACAGGACTGGGAATGTTAATAAAAATCTGCACACTTTCCCTTTGGATTCAGCTCCCTGGTGATACTGTGGTGCTGTGTATATGTGTTTTGTGTCATGCTCTTGCCTGCAAGGGGTATTCCCACCATTAGAATGAATGGGGATTTGTGTCAGTCCATTTATTTATAGTATTTATATAACTCACCCCGAAGGGGACTCAGGGTGGATCACAGAACACACATACGGCAAACATAGTAATGGTGAGGCCGGTGGCAGAACCAGGACTCAGCCCGGTGAGTATAGAATCAAAGAGTTGGAAGAGACCTCATGGGCCATCCAGTCCAACCCCCTGCCAAGAAGCAGGAATATTGCATTCAAATCACCCCTGACAGATGGCCATCCAGCCTCTGTTTAAAAGCTTCCAAAGAAGGAGCCTCCACCACACTCCGGGGCAGAGAGTTCCACTGCTGAACGGCTCTCACAGTCAGGAAGTTCTTCCTCATGTTCAGATGGAATCTCCTCTCTTGTAGTTTGAAGCCATTGTTCCGCGTCCTAGTCTCCAAGGAAGCAGAAAACAAGCTTGCTCCCTCCTCCCTGTGGCTTCCGCTCACATATTTATACATGGCTATCATATCTCCTCTCAGCCTTCTCTTCTTCAGGCTAAACATGCCCAGTCCTTAAGCCACTCCTCATAGGGCTTGTTCTCCAGACCCTTGATCATTTTAGTCGCCCTCCTCTGGACACATTCCAGCTTGTCAATATCTCTCTTGAATTGTAGTGCCCAGAATTGGACACAATATTCCAGGTGTGGTCTAACCAAAGCGGAATAGAGGGGTAGCATGACTTCCCTAGATCTAGACACTATGCTCCTATTGATGCAGGCCAAAATCCCATTGGCTTTTTTTGCCGCACACATCACATTGTTGGCTCATGTTTAACTTGTCCACGAGGACTCCAAGATCTTTTTCACACATACTGCTCTCGAGCCAGGCATTCCCCCATTTTATATCTTTGCATTTCGTTTTCCTGCCAAAGTGGAGTATCTTGCATTTGTCCCTGTTGAACTTCATTTTGTTAGTTTTGGCCCATCTCTCTAATCTGTCAAGATCGTTTTGAATCCTGCTCCTGTCCTCTGGAGTATTGGCTAACCCTCCCAATTTGGTGTCGTCTGCAAACTTGATGATCATGCCTTCTAGCCCTTCATCTAAGTCATTAATAAAGATGTTGAACAGGACCGGGCCCAGGACAGAACCCTGCTTCAGGCACTCCACTCGTCACTTCTTTCCAGGACAGGCATGTAGCTTCAGCCCCCACCCCCCTGAAATTCTCATGGTGGTTCGCAAAAAGGCCTTACTGGTGCATTATTGAAACTGTTATGTTTATTCATATCATGATCTGATCACCATACTCAATATATCCCATATGCATGGGGGTATTGGGGTAACTTACAAAAGGTTTGCTAGGGTAGACCCTCTTTCACTCAGACCCAGCCCCCCCCCCCCCCGAAACCAACTCAGTCCCCCCAAAACAAACTCAGTCTCCAAATCGAAATCCTGGCTACGGGCCTGTTCCAGGATGAAGAGGAAGCATTGTTGAGCACCCTCTGGGTTCGTCCATTTAACCAATTACAGATCCACCTCACCGTAGTTTTGCCTAGCCCACATTGGACTAGTTTTTTTGCCAGAAGGTCATGGGGGACCTTGTCGAAGGCCTTACTGAAATCCAGGTACGCTACATCCACGGCATTCCCCGCATCTACCCAGCTTGTAACTCTATCGAAAAAAGAGATCAGATGTCTGGCATGACTTGTTTTTGATAAATCCATGTTGACTATTAGCGATGACCGCATTTGTTTCTAAGTGTTTGCAGACCACTTCCTTAACAATCTTTTCCAGAATCTTGCCTGGTATCGACGTGAGGCTGACCGGACGGTAGTTGTTTGGGTCATCCTTTTTTCCCTTCTTGAAGATTGGGACCACATTGGCTCTCCTCCAATCTGCTGGAACTTCTCCCGTTCTCCAAGAACTCTCAAAGATGGTTGCCAATGGTTCCGAAATGACTTCCGCTAGTTCCTTCAATACTCTTGGGTGTAGTTGATCTGGCCCTGGGGACTTGAACTCATTTAGAGCGGCCATCCCAATGCTACAATCCATGCAAGCTTTATTAAAATATATTCATTCTTTGTATTATTTTTTTTAAAAAATATTAACCTTGCTTTCCGGATAACCCTCGTATCTACTCACATTTCGAACTGCTAGGTAGGCAGGAACTCATCCCGTCCCACAGATTCGAACTGCCAACCTTCAGGTCAACAATTCAGCAGCACAAGGGTTACATTGAGTCACCTCCAATTACATTTCCACCCAACACCCCATTTTTTTCTTCTTCTGTAAAGCTACTAATTAGTAATGATTAATCTTTCATAGAGCTGGTCTTTCATTTCCTTGTTGTGCCTTTTATTCTGATTTTTCCCCTCCTCTCCCTCATTCCATTTTTGTGGAACATCATCCGGGATAATGCGGCTCTTTAATCGCGGCTGCGGAGTTGTCGTTCTTGGCCTTTGCCTTGTTGTCATTCATTGTGCCTGACAAAGAAAGGGAGGCCATTCAAATGGTTCCTGTGAATAAAATCAGCCTATTGTTCTGAAGATGGAGGGAAAAATACCTCATATAGCTATATTTATCTGTACCTTTTGCCACGCATTCAGTTCTCAAGGCTTTTAATACCTGGCGTCTTTTGAATTTTCCTTTTTCCTTTCTTTTTATAATTGTGCAGAATGTTATGGTGGTTGTTTTTTTCCCCACTCCTGCGAACAACAAATGTCGTTCTTGGGAGATGTGATGTGCTAGGCAAGGGCATTTGCCATGTTCTTCTGCAGCCATGATCCAGAGCTATGCAGAAGACAAAATGCAGCCATTGTACCCCGAACAAGAATTCTGCCCTTCCATTAAATTTTCCTTCAGTCCCCAGTGCTGTTACACATTCATAACTGCGAGCACGAATCCCAGTCCATTTTTTGAGCGAACTGTTGGTGTTTGAGAAAAATTGTTTGTTGAAGGCTTTCATGGCCTGAATGACTGGGTTGCTGTGAGTTCTTTGGGCTGTTTGGCCGTGCTCCAGAAGCATTTGAAGTCGAGCATGTCGTTCCCCCCCAAATAAGTGATGGTAACTTATAGTTCTGCAAAGGGCAAGTGTACCAGACTGCACAAAGGGGTTACGTTTTGGTCAATTTGCCAAGACACTAGCAACAACAAGGACCCCATGAGGCTTTCATGGAAGAAAGATAGAAACAAGAATGTATGTATGTGTATTTTATAAGACTCTCAAGAAAATAATATAAATCAGGATAATATGTTCTCTAATGGAGTAAATTGTCTAGACTTTATAGCATTTATAGCATTTAACAGTAATATTATCAGCACATTATAAGTAAATGTAGGTTATCTTATCAACATAGAGCAATGAATAGTAGACTAGAGATAATAAAGTCCATCCTTTCCTGGAGTCAGATTTCAGTGCAGGAATTCTTTTGAGGATAAAGACAGAGACTGTTGAATTCCTGCACTGAAATCTGACTCCAGGAAAGGATGGACTTTATTATCTCTAGTCTACTATTCATTTCTCTATGTTGATAAGATAACCTACATTTACTTATAATGTGCTGACAACATTACTGTTAAATGCTATAAATGCTATAAAGTCTAGACAATTTACTCCATTAGAGAACATATTATCCTGATTTATATTATTTTCTTGAGAGTCTTATAAAATACACATACATACATTCTTGTTTCTATGTTACTATAGATATTTGTGCATTGTTTGCTTTCAGGGAAGAGCCTGGCCTTGGGGTCCCAGTCCTTGGAGGAAGTTATAGTTTCCCAAGGACTAAGGACCAGCTTGATCTTGGCGCTGCAAGAATCCATTCCTTGGCTCAGTGGAAATAATCAAGCACCT